AACTCATGAGTTCGAACTTGGCTACCAATGAGATCCAACAAGGAAGTTCTAGGCGTGGAACTGATCAAACGATCAAACATCGATATTCATGGAATAGGCTTTGACTCTTCTTCATCTTCCATTACATCCACGTTGATGTGTTGAGTACTAACCTTCTTATCTTTCCCTTTGCTTGAAATCTTGACAGGTGCGATAGGTGTGAAACCAAGGCATGCCTTTGTAAAGTTGACTTCATAACCATGCTCCTTCAACTTTCTCTGGGTTTCAGTGAGCTCATGTTTCCTTTCACCAATGATGCCTAGATCCTTCTTTCCGAGTGTTGAAGATGAGGTGAAGTCATACCCAGCCTTTAACACAAGCTTCTAAACATTGGGGTCGAAGCCTTTCTCGGACCTCTTGGTAGGAAGAAAGCCACGGTCTGTCATGTTTTGCCTAACGAAACTCGGCAATGATGGCTTTGAAACATTTGGATTATTTAACGTGGGTAGTGTCACAATTGTGGCTGCCTTTAGAAGCTTTACACCTTCTTTTTCCAATTTTCTTACATGTTCATTATTTCTCTTTCTAAATTAGCAATTGCCCATTCTTTCTTCGTGACACTGGAATGTATCGAATGACTGGTGTGTTCGATCTTTTTGAGGATGCTCCGCTCTCTTCGGATGTCGAGTACTCTAAACACTTGTGGCCGCTTTTCTTTGGAGATGACACTGCTTGCAATTTTTTCTTTCTGGGCACGACTTTACCTATTGATTGGATTTCTGTGGAATGGGTATCCAACACCATGTCTTCATCCATGTAAAACTTGGCGTCGGTGAAATACAACTCAGCTTCAGTAAATGGCTTTGTGTCCCTCTGTATTGTCTTCACCTTGCCTTTGTAGAATTTTAGACATTGATGCAGGGTTGATGGTCGTGAATCCAAGGCCTTCCTAATAGCAAGTTGTAGTAACTCCTGGCATCAATAATGTGAAACAGTGTACTTAACTTTAATTCTCCAATTGCTGTCTCGATCCCAATTATACATATTGCCCTTTGCCCACCTTGGTTAAAACCTTGGATTAGAAGGTGGCTCTGAGATTACTCGTCCATCTTGATCCATATCTCCGTCATTGTTGACTTTGGCATGATGTTTATTGTTGAACCTCCATCAACAAGCATGCAACCAATCTTTTGTTCTCTTGCATAACTTGAGATAAAGAGTGGGTGATTATGTGGTTTCAACCCTAATAGTAGCTTTTCACCAGTAAAGTTGATGGCAGCACATGTGGCACAACACATGGCGCATTCTTGAGGCCGAAGCTCTAAGTCTCCAACCTTGTATGTCTGTAACTTGTAGCTGTCGGGATTCATCAACACCTCCACTAATGCCCTTTGTATGTCTGTGACTTGTAGTTGTCGGGATTCATCACTAATGCTTCTTGCATGCTAAAGCGTGCAGGTATACCTTTCACTTGTGAAAGATCCTCCTTTTCCTTATCAACAGTATCCTTCGCAGTTGAGGACTTTTCTCCTTTAACCATTTAGCAAGAAACCGTGTTTGAACTATGTTTGAAAAAGCCTTTGGGAAAGTACTCTTGTAGAACTATGGGAGCTCGCAGCTTTCAGGTCTTAGGCTTTTCTCCAAGTGTTGATTTTATCACCTTTACGGTTGCCTTTGGAGGGGTCATATAAGCATGGTGGCATGGGCTTCCTCTTTGGTCTTCCTTCCTTGGGTGAACAGCTTACAACTGTGGTTTTCGCACCTTCCTTCGTATCACCAACGTCCACATTTCATTATCATAGGCAGATGAGTTATGGTGGCATGCTCCATTCAGGCTTCTCTTGCATGAACCATTTCACGACACACCTTAAAAGAACGTGGCTGAAGCTTGACAGATGATGCATAGAAATGTACGGGATTAAAAGACCCAAACACAATAGTTGTTATGTTTACTGTTGCCACTTCTTCTAGGTTTATCTCAATTATTCCTTTCTAGGTGAGTTTCCTGATTAACTCATTGAGGGCAAAGAACTTGCCCACCAGATGACTAATGATGCGATGATACTTGCAGTACTTGGAATTGTTCACTTGATTCATTTCTTTTGGTCATTTGCACTCAGGCAACTCGATTACTTTCTTGATGAGCAGGTCTTCCAACATGGCAGCCACATCAGAGTCAGGGAATGGGTAAGTCTTCTCTTCTAGTTCTTTTAAGGTATGCTTATACCTTTCCTGACCAAGAAAAGGCTCGTTCCGCTTGACCTCTTTCTTTTTTTTTCTTTCGAAGAGATTTTAACATGAGTGGTGTTTCATGTGGAGATTTCGATGGGGGTAGTGTTGACAGTCATTGCCTCCTTGGTAGGCTTTTTCACCGCATTCTCTACTTTTAGCCCGAAGACTCTATCTCTCCTGTAGTCAGCGATTGGCTTTTTCTACCCATGATTAGCAATGCTCAGCTCCATGTCATGGGTGCGAGTAGCTAACTCTTCAAAGGTTTGTGGTTTGATGCCTTAGAGGATGTAGTGTAGTCCCCAGTGTATGCCCTATACGCACATTTCTATTGCAGAGGTTTCTGAAAGCCTATATTTGCAGTCAAGACTCAATAAGCGTTATCGGTTGATGTAGTCGACAACTGGCTCGTCCTTCCACTACTTTGAACTTGTGAGTTCCATCATGCTAACAGTGCAACAGGTACTATAGAAATGGTTCAAGAATTCCCGCTCCATCTAAGCCTTGTTGTTGATAGACTTAGGCTCCAGGGCCGTGTACCAGTCAAATGCATTCCTATTCAAGGAGTGGACAAATTGCTTCATAAGGTGGTCTCCCTTTGTTCCAGTATTGTTGTAAGTCTCGACAAAATTGGTGATGTGTTGCTTTGGGTTGCCCTTTTCGTCAAACTACATGAACTTAAGTGGCTGGTACCCTGTCAGCATTCGCAATCCATCAATCTTACTGGTGTATGACTTGGAATACAACCTAGTGTCCCGCGAAGTACCCTCATTCTGTGCCTTGATGGTATTAGAGATCATGTCCTAGAGTTGCTAGATGGAAAGAGAGCATTTCAGACTTCGACTTTTGTCTTTCTCCTACTTTCTCTACCTGATGCTCATCTTTCTCGCCAGACTCCTTGTCCCACTGATTCTTCTCCGGGTTGGGGTAAGCTTCCTCTTTATGTTGCATCTCTAACCTATTCATGAGAATGGCGATATACATGTCCTTCTCTTTGACAGTCTTTGTCAACTTTGCAATCACTTCATTCATTTAAGCTAGCTATTCCTCAATGAGCGTGGCACCAGTAATCATCACTTGCATGATCACATGATAAGAGTCCCTTCGTGGCAATGGTCAGTTGGCAATCCGTGGGAGGATCCAGTGCTTGAGTTTGCATCTGAGGCTTGCAACAATGAGCACTCCCTTGAACTATTTGACACAAAAGAACCACGTTCATCACTCCGGGTTGTCTTCTCCCATGCAATGGCTTGCTTTGATGTCTCCAGTGAGGCCAAGCTGATGACAGGATCCCACCTCTGACGCTCCCCTTGTTCCTTTAGTGGCACCAACTTGGAGGTGGCTTGTTGAATAGTGATCGTCCTTGCCTTACTTCTGGTTGTGATGCCAATAGACTATCCACTTGCGGCCGAGATGCTCACACTCTTCGCCTTGATTGTAGGAACAACTTGACCCTTCTTTGATGCCATTGATTTTGTTGGTGTTTGTTCATCCAATGAAGAAAGAGATGAGAGGCAGAGATAGTCCCATCAGGGGTGTCAAATTTGTAAACATGAAATTCCTGTGACAAATGAAACAAGAACACGTGTACAAAAATAAATTTGTATTAATGAATTTGTAGGGTTACAATCTCTGTTTACAAGTTTCCTCTTATTCAATCTCCAAAAGATGTGTGGATGTGTAGGTTGTTGATCCAAGGGTGACGATGACTTGGTCTCAGATGAACGGTTGCTGCGAGGTTTTGGTCTCATGGCGATTTGAAGGATCGGCATGAGTAGTATTGCTTGATGATTCTTCGAAAGTTTGGTGAATAACACAAAGAACTTTCTAAATTCTTCTAAGTGTTTTGGGGATTTGGGTGCTTGAGCTTTGACAGCTTCTGGGTGCTTGAATGATTTTTGTATCTCTTTCCCTTGCCTTGAGGCCTTGTATTTATTGACTTTCCAAGCCTTGCCCATGGATGAATTTGGACTTGATTTGTGGCTTGGTTCGTGATTTATTTCCATTAAATAATCAACTTGCCCAATTGGCATTTCTATTTGCTTTAATTAAAATCAAATATTAATTTCCGGTCTTGATGAGGCATATGCCATGTAAGGCCCCCTTGTATGCTACGTAAGCCCTCGCATGCCAAAATTTAATGTGTTTGGTGATCATTTATTTTCACCAAAATTTGCATGTCTACAACATCATCAACGGAGCAACAGCAAAAAATTGAACACTACCATTCCCTGAGTAAAAACAAAATGTCAAATTTCTGGTGTCTTTGCAATCAATTCAAATACCAGTTTACTATGTGGACAACAACAGTCAATGACAGCACATCTTCTCAAGTAGCACACAATCTGTATATTTTCCATCTGCTTTTCTTGATGTCACGTTGTCGCGTGCCTATTAGTTTTCTGTCACAAAACATAGACACAATCCGAACCTTGAATCCTAGGTACGCCACCTTATTCTTCTGGCATTCTATATCCAATGAAAATCTGACTGGTGGCTTTACGAAAATTTGTCGACCATACTGTCTCATTGATGACACATGCACTACCTAATCCTGGTAATTATCGTGCCATCTTATTTTCTAAATGGTTTTTAATTTTCAAGGTTGCTTCCTCGTCAATCGTCATTGGTCGTTTCAGGGAACTAAGAAATATATCCTAATGAGGAAAAGAATGAAATGACATCACTCTTTGAACTACATCTTCCTTGCACCTAAAAAACCAGCATGTCTCAAAAATATATACATGTCCAAAGCTAATCCTAGAATCACAAAGCTAATCCTAGAATCAATCAATCTCCTTACGTTTTTCCCTGTTTGTGTATTAATATTAGCACAATGGTTAGATCCCCTTGTTGTGATGAAGAGAACAGTTTGAAGAAAGGTCCCTGGACAATGGACGAAGATGCGAAATTGACGGATTATATTAGAAGAAATGGTCGTGGAAGCTGGAGAGCTCTCCCCAAGCTTGCTGGCCTCAACAGGTGCGGCAAGAGTTGCAGATTAAGGTGGACAAATTACCTGAGGCCTGATATTAAGAGAGGAAAGTTCTCGGAAGAGGAAGAACGAGTTATCATCAATCTTCATTCAGTTCTTGGAAACAAGTATGCTAATTAATTTTCTCCATCCATCACAATTCACATATAAATTAGGTTTCCTCTACACTAATTTGTAAAACTAATTTGTGAAACTAATTAATTAAAGGTGTACGTTGCTTGTTCTTTCAGGTGGTCAAAGATTGCAACTCATCTACCAGGGAGAACGGATAACGAAATCAAGAATTACTGGAACACCAACCTGAGAAAGAAGCTCCTGCACATGGGGATTGATCCAAACACCCACAAGCCAAGGACTGACCTAAATCACCTCCTCGACCTTTCATCGTTGCTCAGAGCAGCAAGTGTTGGCAACTCGAACATGATGACTAGTCCTGGGGACAATGCCATGAGCCTGCAAGCAGCAGCGGGTGCTGCCCAACTTGCCAAAATGCAGTTACTTCAATGTTTATACATGATGCCAGTCGTGAGCACAAGTAATAGTAGTGTTCCTCCTAAAAATTATAATGCAGACGTGATGAACACTACTACTAATAGTCATTTTGGTTCTCACAGTCTTCATCTGTTTGGAGGAGGGAATATGAGTGGTGCAAGTACCATACTAAGTGGTCAGAAATGGAACCAGCAGGCTGATAAAGTCGACAGCTTCCACGCGATTTCTAACTTGTTTGAAGGATTTCAAGGTGGGTTTGGTGCACAAGGAGGTATTAATAGCAATAGTACTGATCAGCAGAACATGAGCAGTAGTTGCTATGGTGATATATATGTCCAGACCTCGAACCAACCACCTCCTGCATTTTCATCGGCTGCACTATCTCCGGGGACTTCTTCCACGGTCATCGGTGACGCTTGGGAGAAACTCATGGATGATGAAACAAGTGAATCCTACTGGAAAGATATTCTAGAGTAAGTTCTTGCAGATACCCTCTCAAATCTTTCGCTTCATTTTTTTCAGTTACATTAAATTGTTGAATATTTCCTCTTTATTATTGAGATCAAATAAAATTCTTAATAATTAATTTAGAAACTGTACATTCACCTGATGCATTTGCCTCCTTATAAACTAAAGTTTACATTTTTCTTTCTGTTTTGCAGATCAATCTCATAAATCTCATCATCGTCATCTCTCTGGTTCGTACTTATAAATTTGAAAAAACTGTTCAACCTTATGTAGAAAAATTAATTTCTGCATTCATTATTCATTAATAAGGTTTATTTTCCCGGATTGGTTATTGGTAGTGAGGCTTCTGAATTCTCTACTCAGATACATATATTTTTAAGTATTCAGCACCTATGTGAAAAAGATACCTTCACATTCTTGTAAACATTTACCTAAAGAATTGTTCAATTTCCTTGTCGCTTGAATATACAGTTGTTGGTCACTACTGTAATGTCATTATTTCCTACACATATACAGTCTCAATAGGACTCTTTGTTGCTTTCTAACCCAGAGAGAGAATTCAAGTTATGTTGTATGTGCACTAGTATCCTAGTAGATAACGTGCTGAGTTCTACTCATAGATTCCGTGTTCAAAACTCTTCATCTTCTAAATAATTGTAATAATTCTGAACTCTCCTCTTCTAATAATAGTAAAACTTTGGGAAAAAAAGAAGTTAAGACTTTGACCATGCATATTGTTGCATGTGAAACTCAAACATGCAGATCATCGACATATATATATGTTGCTGTCGAAGGGTCTCCGAGTGTAACATGAGCTGATGAATAAAGGGAAGGATCCCATCGATGTTGTGTATATGGGATCAGGATCTTCTTTGTGAGGATCTCAATGATTACTTCATCGTGTCCATTTATCATATATCGTATGGTCAGTTTTTATCAGATATTGTTTGTGTTCAATTATAAATAAAAAATTTCCAAATGATTTATAACCGCATGATAATAGCTGAATGAACACGATGAAATGATCTTCAAAATCTTCACAAAAAGAATCCGAGTAGGATCCTATTCCGTATACACACACACACACAAATACAATAAATATATAATGTAGTCACTAAAAGTCAGAATAGTAGTTATACCGCTACTCATTATTTGGTAAGATTACTTCCGTTTAATACAAGTTATTTGACCGCTGCAAAATCCATTTATCCAACTAAACCACCCAACAATTATTGAGTCGACTTCTATTCACTGAGGATGTATATTAGGGAATTTTAACGAAACACATCCAGTACTGTTTACTTTTAACAAAAATAACATTTTTACTTTAAAAAGTCACTCCTAGTACTATTCACTTACAATACCTTTTTGTCATTTTTATTAAAACTCAAAATTTTCAAACCATTTTCATTAATTTTCCTTATACATTAATCAAACGACTTCGGATCCCTTTCTCCTAATCTACCAAATCAAGGGATTCATACTGTTGAAATTTAATTCAACGATTGAAATTATAAATTTTTTAAATGGACTTCTGTTTGTAACCGTCTGATCAAATTTCAACGATATGAACTGATTTGGTGAATTAGGAAGAAGGGATCCAGAGAGGATCCCTTTCAAACAGACGTAGCAGCATCTTTATATTTTGGGGTCTCAAAACTCTCCACACATAAGAGTTCGATACTTAAAAATTATGAGTTGCGCAGTGTGTGGTCAATCTAAATTTTTGAACCCTTGACACCAAATAACGTTGTACTTGTATCAAAAGAAAAGGAAAAAAAGAATAATGTGTTATGATTTGGGTACATACTAGAAATTAGGCCCGCGCGTTACCGCGAAGGCAGCTGTTTCAGGCGTAATCAGATGAATAAAACACATTTAAGTTGAATAAATTCAACATAATTATGAACAAACAAAGGGATACATAAGTGAATGAGGTCGATAAGATAAGCAGTTTTGCTTTTATATACATTCAAGTGAGTTGGCATATAGACACATTATACAATGAGTGGGAAGAAACTGAACGTCTTTGATTAGAAAGAGATGGTTTCCAAAAAAGTTCTGTTTCCTTAAGAAATAGAAGAAACATTAAGTTCACACATATAATATGTGTCATGCAGTGTAGGCAGCCATTTCAACAGGTAACTAAAAATAGAAAGTGTTGAGGACTTGTTCAAGTAGCTGATTTTGTAACCACAACTTTTCAAAGGCAAAAATAAGCAGAAGGTTTGTTTCCATACGAAACAGAAGCAAGCTGCAGTTTACATATATTTTGCCCCTGCAGTTAAGATGGCAAAATATATGCCCAGCAACCTACTTACCTCACTTGTGCAACATATGCCTTACACTGAAAAGACATCAAAAATCGAATACAAATTTGTAAATCATGGACAGATTTTGTTTTATATTTTTCTAATCAAATCACGTGGCATTATAGCATGTAAAATTACAAACTTGAAACAACCAGAGAGAGCAGAAATTAAGATGTAGAGATATCCTCAAACTTGCAACATATTGTATGGAAGCTAATCGTAGAGGTTTGTGAAACAAACTGCGGCATGAGTTGCAGTCAATTGAACAAAAACATATTAGTTTAACTAAAAAATGCATGATGAAATGGATTCATAGTTTTCATGCATGACACAACTCTATATTATTCCATAAGTCAACTTAATATCATTCCACAAAGTGAAATTAGAATGCTTACTTGTCGCAGAGAGGGCAATGCCACAATGAAGGCATATGGCGAAACTTAGTAACCTGTAGCATTCATTGCACTTTATAGACAATACGATTTTGCCTATCTGATGGCATCTGCCAACACAAAAAAGGCCACAAAATGGATGCCAAGTCTACTTTGATTCTCATGACATGCGATAAATAGAACAGATAGATGATGTTTTCCATATCAATAGCACACCAAGAAATGTGAAGGACACAACACAGTAGCTTACTAATTCAAAAGATTAAATGAACTATAAATGGACCAGTGGTTAATCGAACAAATTCAATACAACTTAATCACATTCTAATTTTAAGCTAAGCACTATATTGCCAAGAAAAGTGCCCGTATTGCTGTGCATGTAAGAAAAATGAGTTAGCACTATCCACTGCTCATTTTGCTAAATGAAATGCCTAGAATCTATTCATTTCAAGTAAAAATCCAGAACAGGGAGATGGAGATATCGGACGTTGAAAAGTGATTAAATTGCCATCTTAACAATCGATTTAACCTATATATACCTACAGGTGTCAAATTCGATCTTAGATAAAAATAAAGCTGCTGATGAGATAACTGATTCCTGGTGTGAGTCATCACTTCTACTTTTTATGGCAATGATTACTTCAAGTTCTCATGGATACTCAATGGATCAATAATATCGACAACATATCCATCATTTCAAAAGGGTCATTACTAAACATCTACTAATCCGTAGTTACTTGTAGTTTGATAACTGGAAACCTGAGGCTTAACAAATTTGTAGATATTTAGCAATGACCCTCCTAAAGCTCTTTATCAATATCTATGCATGTGAAGTTAAGAATGACATGAAGAAACTGGAGTCAAGACAAAATTAATTTTAATTTAAGAATTTGAACAATGAACCTTGAATTAGTAAACTTGGTGATATGGATTCCATGTTCCATCAAGACCACTCTGAACAAATGCGAGATTTTGGCATGGATTCTTCGTTCCCATTCTCACTTTTGGCTTGGCATCTATTGCTCTGTTTAACATGTAACATTATATGTATTAATATAACATGTATATAAACAGATAGGCAACATATTGCATTGTGTGTATATAATGTAATCTTTTTCTTCTACCAAAAAATAGTTGGCAAAGGACACATTCAACCTGCAGATATAAGTTCTATTCAAGTTTATACCAAATTCATATAACATTTACAAGTAAATTCATACAGAATTCGTTTAAAAATAAACAAAAAATTTTAGCGAGTTGGGCTAAAATACTGCAATTGCTCAAAGTCGAAAAAGCGGGGAAAAAAGGTAGTCAGCCTAGCGTAATATACAAATTTTGAAGCTTTGAATTGCCTTTTCGCAAATCAGTATTCTGTTATATATTCAACTATTGAACTTATTATTTGAATCCAAAGCGGAAAAGTCAGGAAGACATTCACAAAACCAAATCAAATGCACCAAATATCACATCAAAGAATAAATTATATAAATTGACAGATTGAAAGAAACTCAGTAGAGATTAGAAAGAGAAAGAGAGAATGGAGGAAGTGGGAAAGGGAAGAGAGAAGTAGTTGTAGAGGTTAACGAAGGAAGCCATTGCAAAGAAATCAGGCTTGAATAATTAACATTTATTGTTACAGATGATTAACTCTAAGGTTTCTCAATATCTGTGATCAAATGCATGTAAATGGTTAAATGAGTAATTTAGCTTGTTGATTTTTCTTCAGCCACCAGTGCAAAATTCATACGAATTCTCTCATATGCTTTGTAAATCTACCAAGATTGGTAATAACATGCTACTCAGCAGAACATTCATTATTCACCCATTAGTATTTAGCATCTACACTGAGTCACTAACATGCATTGCTCAGTTAGGACTCTGTTATACTCATCATCCATGATCAATGTAATCATATATTTCATAGCTACACTCCCCATTGACATACACTGACATAGCATCTACTTTTTTGCTGACTTTATTTGCTCAGTTAAGCAATAACCAACATGCACAATATGACAATCATAGCAGCTACACCAATCATCCATAAACGGGCAGAAATACAAATACTATTATATTGGGGTTTGGAACAAATAAACCAATCATCCAATTCAAATGTCGTTTGGAACAAATACACCAATCATCCAATTCAAATGTCGTTTGGTACGAATACATTTTTCCATTAATTGGATATTCAATTAACTGGGATTAAAAAAACGATTACCAAACAAAAGCCAATTTTCTAAAGAAAATTAGTGTTTTATACCTGCCAATTCCAAAGGCCTGTATGAGCCCAAAATTGAGGGATAGTGACATCTCCAATTTCGAATTGGGGATCTGCATTTCCTGCAATTCCATTGTGTGTAACACCTTTCACGTTGAATAGGGTTTGTAGTAATTGAGTTGAGATGCCTGCATTAAGCTTTTCACAGGTTTCTACATCAATTTTTTTCCAGCAGGTTTCTACAGAAAATACTTCAATAATATTGAATGATATGGGAAATAAACGGTTCAGATTTACACTAAAAGATTTAATAATTGTGAAAGTCGAATCTAGCGGATAATACACTTGTAGTATTGAAGCCGGACACTGTTTCTACATCATTTATTAAATACATTATCTATGATATGCACTGACCAATGAAATTAATCAAAGTAAAACAGATGGTCATCTGCATAATTAAACATACCGTGCTCAATTCAGTCATAACAATTATAACCTTTTTGTCTTCCAATCGTCTGATTCGAAACCTTCTTCCTATCAAATTGAGTATGTAGAATTCAGTCCAAAGTTATTTTTCTTTCAATTACAATATTCTATGTATTTATAAATTTCAGAGCAGAACGTGCAAAAGCAAGAAAAGCAACAACAACAAAACTCATATATACCATGAGCTATAAAGATAAAACATTTTAGCAAATGATACTGATTTCCGCATACTCATTATTCTCCATGTACACTCGTGTTTATTTTGGTCATTTGAATTCAATAGAAAAATAAAAAAAATTAAAGGCCAAAAATTCAACAAAGGTGCAGAATAAGAAAATAGTGTGAGAAATCAGTTTCTTTTAGGAAATATATGTACATAGCACTCAAAGAACACCCATGTAATTATATAAACTTAATGAATATATATATAATTTTATGCTTACCAGCAAAATCCAAATATGGTAGCTTCTGATCAGCCACAAAGCTTGTAGACTGAAGTTCTAACCAGAGAAATCCTTGAAAAAGGCAGATCAGATTCATGAGGAAATAAAAACTTTATGTTCAAATGCGAAAAGCAAATCAAGAAACGCAAAAACTTGAGAACTAATCGAAACCCAATAGAGAAAAACGAGAATCCAGAGAAACCCACTAACCTGTTGGAAGAGTGACAGCCATGCTTTCCCCATTTTGACAGGAAGAATAGCAGATTGTGACATAGCCATTCTGAAAACTGTAGTAGCAGGTTTCCAAATCATTGAAGATAATAAATGAATAGCTAGAGACATTGAGAATAGTTTTCTTCATTACTTAAACAGTAGAATGTGGACAGGGCATAAGTGAGGTTTGCTAATGTAAATATCCTCATTATAAATATCGCTAAAGCGTGCATATACACTGTGGTTTGCCAATATTTCCAGCTATTTCCAAGTGTGTGCTGGTGTGTTTTTTTCCCTTCAAATATGCAGTTTTTTTCATTTGAGTATAGATGTTATTATTTCTACGATTCAAGTGCCATTTTATTTCTTCACTTGGAAAAAGAACTAAGCCTTTTAAAGTGGCCGTGGTGGAAAGCAGTTGGACACCATTGTATAATTTCTTGACTCATTCCACATTTTGTACCTAAAATTTCCACTTGATTATGTTTTAGCCTCTACCTATTCTCTTCCTTAATTTGGCTATGCCTAACCAAAGTCTTTTCCTGTTTAAGGACGCGCGCCCTATGTTATTTCCCTCTCCACTGCATTCTCATCTTCCTAAAATTTATAACATCAAACCATCAGAATCTCAACCCATAATCAGTTTTACCCACCCACACTAAAACAGAATCCCCAAGCCAACAACTTACATTTGATTCGGGAAGTAAAGTGACTTGTGCAAAGACTTCATCAGTGTCTGGTTCAGCCTATAATTCAGCAGAAAGAAACATATTATTTCCTCGCAAAGCCCAATAACTTGAGTACAAAAGATGCAGCTAAACAATTAAATCTGGAATTCTTAGTTTTCTTTATAAGAGCAGCCACCACACTACCTTCAATGATACATTAATAACCCGACAAAGAATATTCGATGCAAGATTATACACTGGCATCGGCTGATCAGTCAACTGATTAGTCGATGCCTCCACCCATTTTTGAAACCAGAAAATCCAATTGACAATTAGAGATAAAACCCAGAAACACAAAACATAATATGCCTCAGCTACAAAAACCCAAATAAATAAATAAAACACTCAAATTTCTATGTAAAAGCGAACACATTTTGGCCCCAAAACAAAGGTGTCATAGATGGAGGAAGAGAGAAGTGACAGAAAGGGAGAGATACTAACTCAACCCCACCATCTCTCTGCAGCCAACACACTCATTCCCTCTCCTATCTCCCCCAAATCACACCCCCACTCTCTGCAACCAACCCCCTCTCCTCTCTCCCCCATATCACACCCCCACCCGGACACCAGACCACCTCCCTAGAAATCGGCCCTGAAAACTGTAATGACCCAAAAATTCTTAATTGGAAGCTAAATCCAATGATAGGCCAAAATGAAATCATGGTTAATCACTACGCTAGTACCGTAATAAATTTCTTTCCTTTAAAGAAATCCAGCATAATATTAAATTTGGGTTATTTTATGGCTGCATCTAACCGTCTCGTTAGACTGCCTACGTACCCTACAAAGGGATCAAGTCTTTCGTAGTTCACCCAAATCTTCTAGAACAACATACAAAAAATTTCATTACGATCCAACAGTCAGATCCTCGATTCATATATTGACCAAGTAACGTATCATTGTAAGCTTAGGTTCAAACGATCAACCTACGTCATACAAATATCATAACTAAATTTAGGACATCTAATTTATCCTAAAAATAGCATCGACGATCCCCTGCCCACTCGCCGCCGTGGGTGGCAGTCGGCCGCCCCGACTTGCCGAAAAATTTCAACTATTTCTAAAAATTCTCAAAATTTACAGAAATGACAATCTCAAAGAATAGAGCAAACTTTACCTGTGGCCAAGTCCAATTTGGCCGGAAAAAGCTCCAATTTGCCTCGAAACTCACCGGAACCCTAGAAATTGGGTGGCCTCGATGCGCCACCTCCGGTGCTCCGCCGGCCCAACCAAGGCCTGGGACATGTTCCAGGGTTCACGAGAAGTCGACCCATGGTGGTGGTCGACGGTGGTGGTGTCAGAAACGGGCGGATCGTCGCTGTGGGTGCCTTCGGACTCGCCGGAGAAGGCGATGAAAGTTTGTCATGAAACCTCGACCACAGCCGTCCAACTTAGGTGGGAATGGAAGCTGGGACGACAAGGACTTGATTGGTAGTGACGGCGTCACCCAACTCGCCGGGAAAACGCCGGAATCGGCGTCGGAGGTTTGGTTGTTCGAGTCGGGTCACGCGGGTTGAGGTAACCCGGTTTCCTCCCCCTCCTTTTCTGGTTCTCTCCCTTCCCTCCCTCCCATGGTTTCTAATTGGGCAGTGCCCATTCCTCTCTCTCCCAGCCCTCCACGTGGCTTCACCAGAATTATCTGGAGAAATCCAGATTATGGTCAAATAACCATTTCACCCCTGACTTTGCTCGTTTATAACTTATAAGTTATAACTCCGTTTCACGAACGGTTTGCGCATACGCGTTCGTGAGATCGAGCTCTATCCAAATATGCCAAGAAATATGATAAAATATATGAGAATAAAATATGTCCTCTTATAAATTCAATTTAGCCAACTAAAGCATTTTCATCTTTTCCCCTTTTCGATAAGTTTTTCCGCATAAACATATACTTAAATTTTTCAGGGTACTACAAAAACCCATAACTCCCTTAACCGTTCCCTTTCTCAAAGCAATTAAATTGACTTTATATATAAATTATACCTTTTTTATATTTAAATAATAATGTACATTGTTGAATTACAGTTATAGTCCATGAATACAATTAGAGGCCTTTGAATTTCTTTGCAAGAGAAGATTTATACGGAAAAGCAACTGCAAATATACAGACGGAGGGAATTTGAGGTTTGTAGTTCACCTACACAACAATTTCTTACTATATAGATACAACTGAGTAGTTAGAGAGCTTTAGACAATACTACTCAAGTCCACAGGTAATTATAAACTATAATCATATAATATCTCACAATAAAAATCAATGTGACTAAAAACAAATGATATATATCAACTTTGATGATTTCTCTTATTTTCCCTCTCTTTCTCAGCAACCAAACAGCAATTGAAAATTACCAAAAACTGAAAAGATTGAAGTACCTGGGCAAGTTGGAATGCATGGGTTGCCATCACCACTTGGTGTAAAAAAAATCAGGGTGGGCATCTTCAAGGGCACCTAAACCCTTCATCCGCAAACGTATGTATAAAAATCAACAAAATAATCTTGTGATTGCATTAATCCGTAGAAAAAAATACGCTAAAATTCATAGTTGGGGTGCAAAGAACCTAATTTTCAGCAATCAAGAGTCACAGATCCGAGGCATTCAAGCACACAACAGAGAAAAGAGTATATTTTGAGGCACAAACCGAGTCTCCACTCCTATTAATCAAACCCTCAACCTTACATGTTTTGAGGGGGAGGAGCACGACTTGGTTACAGAGAACAATTTCTATCAATCTCTTTCAGTTATATAGAGATTTAATATTTCAAGCATCAATGCATTGAACATTTGGTACTTGACATGAACATTTGATAACTGAGAAGCATAACTTTTTGTCTTGTCCAACATTTAAGCTATAAATGTTTTGTTACTTGTCGTATCTCGTTTTATACAGTGGTGAATTTGCATCCTTAACTACTGATTAGTCTTGTATCTCCCATGTTCAGATCAAATTCTATTTAATAGTGATGCAGCTGTGACAACAGGGACTAAAAGTTCAGTCTAAAGCTACAACAGGGACTAATTCTACCTCTTACAGGGTCTGCTGGAGAGATCAGAAACAATTGCAGGGATGTTAATGCATGAAATATGTCTAGCCAGCAGTGGACTTGCATTCTGCAAGAGTATTGTCCTAGCTCCTGATTGCTTTAATGCCTTAGGGGAATCTTTTATGCAGACTGTATGTGGAATGAATTCCTTTTATTTTCTTTAGAGATATATATAAAGTTTCAACATATCCAATTCAAATCAGCATATATCCAAATTCCAATTCAATAAACCACATATCCAAATCAATTCAAACTAAATACCTAATATTCAATCACATATCCAATTCAAACTACATGGCTAATATACAATAACATGTCCAATCTTTAAGCACATTTTCAAAACAGATTTAGAACACTATAAAATCTACTTAGTAGCAGAACATAAACATAAAAATCCAACACAGAGACAAGGCAGCATACCAATTCCCTATCTTGTATGCTCTTTTCAGCTGGATCTTCTTAACTTGTTTCAAAACTTCTCCCATGCGTTCAGTTGCATCCTGCAAATTTGTTAACTCAACTTATTAAGTAACACTCTAATTATTTCTTAGCCAAAACTAAGCCGAAAATTGTCAATCCCATAAAAAAGTTGCATCTTTTTCACAGTATTTTTCCAGACTTTAAACACAGAGAACCGGTCCTAATCCTAATCCTAATCCGTACATCTGATGCACCAATACATGCACCCGTATTTTCTCCATTAACGGTTTACACCACTTTAGAACCATATAATTTTTTCAGTTTCATTGTGTTCTTAATATGTATGCAATTGTGATTTTTGTTGTAATTGGGGACCTGGGAGAAGATTTAAAGTGCAGCGGTCTATCACAAATACCTTGGAAAAAACCTTCATACATTTGAACTGTAACAGTTATGCCTATAGTAATTTTAAGGCAAGCACTGAAGCTACTAAGGCATCAATTTGGAAGTCTAAACATATGCCTGACTTCAAGCACAGAATCACAGCAGGTTAATCTATAAATTAGCAACTTAACAATACATAGCAGCAGTGCTTGCCTTAAAATCACAAATCCCCCAAAACTGGACGTAACATACTAAACAATTAGAAAATCTAAGGCACCATTCAAGAAAACAATTTAAAAACGGAACTTATCTTTGGATTTGAGGCATGCAGCGCAAGATCCGGCACACCCCACCCTCAGTAGGGTTTGTTGATGACCCCTACCCCGTCTCCCTGAAATCCCGACGACCCGTATGGTCTTCTCTGACCATACCGACCCTCCCATCTGCAGCAACAGTGCCGAGACCCCTCCCCCTCGCTCTCCTTCCATCACCATCTCTCTGTCTCTCTCTCGCAGACCCTTCCCGAAACCCTAATTGAACGACACCAAATGATACCTACCCGGTGACCCCCTATCTCGCCCAAAACGGAGAGGACACAATTGCCCTTCCTAGTAGACCATCCCCACCATCGGATTCTAATCTTAGATGGGTAAAAATGTAATTAAATAATTTGGGCCTCACTGAGGGCCGGGCTTCCCAGCCAAAACCAACACATTTGGGCCCCGCCCTGGCTGAGGGCCGGGCTGCTGAACCAAAACCAACAGAAAGATCAATGGCATGGTTGTAATTAATCTGAAATTCGGATTGAAACACTATTCATTTCTACAGTGCCAATTCCAAACCTTTCTTTAGACTAAAGTAATATGGCAAAAGCGAATCCATCTTGTTTGTATAAATGTGTGTAGATTTTGATATTCAAATATTTCTTCTTAAAAGTATTAATTTGACCTCATAACCAGGATCATCACCCCATAGCATGTTGCCGTTAGAAGCTCGTATTTCTTCTAGAGCATCTCCCAATTGTTCCCAAACAACTAGAAAGAGATTATTTAATTAGAAAGAATTCAGTTCAAATGTAGGATGAATGTCCAAAAGTTTGTAACATCTACACACAAGAAGGTGATGACAGCAAGGTATAACTAAAGCTTGGTGAATGTTAGGATTCAATTTGAAAGTGACGTAGCTAGGCTGATTGTTTAGTCTTAATACCATAAACATAGATCAAGTTTTTGGCTGTATAAGGAAGAATGAATAATACTTCAAAGTCCAATCACAACAAGGTTTTATTGCTTAGTTTGGATGAAAGGAGGCGGAGACGCCTCGAAGATATAATTCCGATGCGGAAAATGACCTGAGCAAATATCTAAAGATTGTATAGCAACAACAAACTAACAATGTTACTCTAACGCCACTTAGTACTACGGTCTAGTGAGATTCTTCTTCACTTATAAGTTGAAGTCTTAAGTTCGATTCTCGCTAAAGGTGAATTTGAACCAAATTATTGTTAGTTCATTATGAGGCTAAGTCCACCCCCTCCCCAAAAGCAGAAAAATTTCACAATCAAAGGCCGACGAAGTACCGCTGCATTGTCTTCTCCATTTGAAGGTGTACTGACTTGAGATCTTTCGAGGACGGTGAGCAGTGTGGCAACAAAGTACCACTGCATCGTCTTCTCCATTTGGAAGTGAAGGGAAATTGAGGAAAATCGTGGAAAGTGTTTGTTGGAGTCTGCAGTACTGTGGGGAATTGAGAAGCATTGCTCTCTTTAACCGCTCCAGAGCTCAGCACTGCAGAGGGTGGGAGGAATTGGGGTGAGATTTGATGCATGCTTGGCAGAGGAAGCCGGTGGGAGAGGACAAAGGGGTTGCCGCCACACATACCAGCGTTGTTTGGCTATGGTTCTGTCGACCCACTTCAGCGATCGAGTGGTTCAAGATGCTCATCGCCTCTACGGTTAAGGTTTGACTGATCGTACTCAGCCCCGCTCTCATTTCTCGGAATTCAAAGAAGCAAAAAGACCAAAATCCATGGAATTTGATGTGTTTTGGAGCAGGATTTTGAGCAGCAAAACGCCCAAAGAATGCAGAAGCAGCAGCAAAAGCAGCTTCTTCAGAGCCTTTGCTTTTTGGAGGCTTGTGTTTGTGAGAATTATCAGCAAGGGCGTACCCCACCCACGCAGAGGCAACGGCAAAGGCAAAGGCAAAGGCAAAGGCAGCTGAAGTAGAAAATGAAATAAAAGTGGCTGTTTACACAGAGGTCAGGTCCGGGCCGGGGCCGGGGTTCGTTTCCACTTAGTTCTAGACTAGCCCCGCCACGTTAATTTTGTGGACCGTCCCGAACCGGATGGACTCGTCTTGACCCGCAGGTCCAGTACCCGTTTGGCCATCCTGCTGTAACCTTAAATTCAATTATTCGGATGCAGAATCATGATTCATATTGGAATAGAAACACCGGAACAGAGACACACTGAACCTGCATGATGTTATGTTAGTCCCCAAATGACTAGATCTAGATCAATCACCAAACTCCATGAGCATGTATTTTTAACAAAATACCGAAACTCTTATCACTCCATACAGGTCAAAAATAAACTACTTCCAAATTCACACGACGCAACTGTCATACCAATGCATAGTCTTTAAAGTTAAAACAAGAAACTCCTCAATCTCTATATATGTTTCTATATACTAGACATACGAAAACTCTAATAACCCGTTATAACCAACTTCATAGTGTAAATCCCGTCCTATATCAAATCCCTTGAAGAATCTCAAATAACGCTCCACCATCTACCCAGAACATAACAAGAAACAACCAAAAGATTTCATTTCTGGCTTTCCTCGTCTATATTTAGGCAAGAAACAACCAAATAACAAGAAGACGCTAATTTATTGAAGTTTGAACTTGGCTCGCGCATCAGTTTTACACCAACAGAGGGCCAGTACATGAAGCTCAATCTACAGATGGCATCAAGGACTCTCTACACATTACATGAACCATAATCTTTCCAATAAGCCCATAAAATTATGCAATGCATGAACATTCAAAGGAGTAGCAAAAATGTGTATTAGTGATTATGCATTTCATGAAAACTCTCAGTAGGTAGATATATACAACTTACGGACGTGATAGACAAAGGTTATTCTATCCTTCACAGATCAACACTTAATCACATTAAAAGAAGAGTGACTTGAAAAAGAAACTAATAACTAACTGAACAACGAAGGAAAATAAAGAAAAAAGCAAAGTCAAAACCTTCCGCCAACTCTGCATATGTTTGTGAAGTATTTGGATATGCACCCAGAAGAATCCAGAAAGTATCATGTCAAATGTGTATCAATCAAAATCCAGGCACACTTTGAGAAGTATCTATTCTGCATCAATTGTCTCAAATTAACCGACATCTAGAGTTTTAGTTCACCAATCTTCTTGGAAACAGGATACAGAAAACTAAGAGACAGATAACTCCTCGGTTTAACCGACATCTAGAGTTTTAGTTCACCAATCTTCTTGGAAACAGGATACAGATAACTCCTCGGTGATAGGAGAAAAATAGAGTAGGAATACTCACCTTAGAGCAGCAAAGGATGGGTCATCGAATTGGCCAGGACAAATGAGTACTAGAGAAACCAGTCCCACTACAAGGTTCACTGTAAAGAATTAACTCTAATATTATTAATTCCTCAACCGTGGAGCATTACGGGCTGATGCATGGATTTCAGACAAAGGAAGTAAGCCACTAGGAGAGATATTTTCAGCAATTGGATATTGACATATCCTTGCAAAGCATTTAATATATTTGCTGTTGACTACACAAATTCAATTGCATTCCAACTTTTCCCACTGAGCCCCACTTTCTCCTCAGTCCACAGAGACAAAATGTAGGACTGGTGCCAACAGTTCATCACGGAAGAAAGGACTCACTGAGCCGAGATTTTTCACTTATAAACCATTATCATTTTACCACATTAATACGTGGCTTCCACTCGCCAGGTACCAGTATTGTCTCTTTTTGTATTTGAAAGAGGGTAACTGGAGAGGGGAAATGACATAAGAAAATTGTTCCTATGCAACCTAGTCTCTTCTAAGCGGTGTGGTTTTGACACCTACTACCAAATTAACAAAAGAACCATACACTTCAATACTGTGGGCAACGCTCACGATTCTGAACTTTGAACAACTAGCAAACACGCGTTGGAATCCTACACACATCGAGCACACAGTGCTTCTACCACTGGATATTCTATTAGCCAGCACATGTTGCTCATACAACACAATTAAAAGTCAGAAACTAACACGATTACAAGCCAGGGGAATCCTAGTGACAAATCTATAAACCACTTAAACGTATAATTCCACCAACGGCATGGTATATATGGATAATACAGAAGAAACCGTTACTAATAACAACTCACCAAAACAACATGTGGGTCAACCCCTCCTATTGGTATACAAAGTCAATATACAAACCGTTAGTGAATAGAAACACAGATCCAACCTAGAAACTTATTTCATCTTGGGTCCACTTTGTTTCAACAACCATCTGATGATTCTTATTTATTCCTTAACCCTAGAACTAACTAATTGAAGAAATAATATCCAAAAACAACTAAACCTTACATAAATGCCATAATATATGTGTGTTATTTAGAGCTCATTTCTCTGAAGTCGACACAAAACCTTAAAAACAACTAAATCTTACATAAATGCCATACTATATGTGTGTTATTTAGAGTTCATTTCTCTGAAGTCGACACAAAACCTTAAAAACAACTAAACCTTACATAAATGCCAAAATAAACGTGTTATTTACAGTTCATTTCTCTGAAGTCAACACAAAACCTTAAAAGGGAATCTGGGATCACACTTTATTATTAGTGAAATCAAAACATCAAGGCACGCTAGATGCACTCCGTCTTTAATAACCTTCCAAAACATACGAAAAAACGCTAAATGCCTAACATGAATTAATACAAAGTGGCGTATATATGACAAAAGCTTGATCAGAAAGTAACACATTACACCAAAGCAACTAAACATGCCTCTTGCCAGACTAATAAAGTAAAACCTAGGACAACAACCATTTCTTTTATCCAATAGTCCAATAACACTCGCATTTCAAACTAAAAAGGAAGAGTTTAATAATTAATAAACTTCTGATTCTCAAGTGGCATGGGAAAGACCATGGATCACTAGCCTACAACAGAAAAGGCAATGTAATGACAAAAGTGAGGGTCGAATCGTAAGCTAGACTTGGATTTTTATGAAAGTATTTCCATCTATTATGTCTCCTCTTTCCCTTTTTTAGATATGAGGATTCCAACATACAAAACGAACCAAGGGTTATAAAGAAAGTTACTGTGTCAAATGTTTTCCTGATAAAATTTGATTGACAGAGCATTAATTAGATACCTTTTGATGCAATCCATTCAAGCCAGATTAAACAACAGGAGAGCAAATTACTTCAAGAACAGGAGAAAAAAGTATCATAAATTCAATAAATTCAACAGAAACTAAAAAGCATAAAAGAATAAAAATGAAAAAATCATTAACAAAAAGGCCAAAATCCATTAACTAAATGGTGCCTATGGCACAAACTAAAACAGCTTCTAGGCAAGGAAAGACTTTAAAGCCTCAGATTACAACTTGACTTTCCTAAAAGGCTAAAACTTCAGCAGAGTATTTTGAGAAGTACCTTCTCCAGAGCATTGGTGGATGGAATATACACGATCAACACTGAACTTCATGTAATCTTGTTGTCAAGAAGTTAAAGCTAAAACCAAGAGCCAACCTACTCACTTCAGCACTGTACCCCAACTGCTATCTAAACCTAATGTGCAGCTCAACTTCGTCCATCAATCACCAAATAACCTGCCAGCCAACCATCAGACGAAGAGGCCACACTGCCTTTTAAACTTGAATTCGGTTCTCCTCTTCTAAGTTAAGATCACCCCCATCATCTCCATCACAACTTACAATCTTCCTCACTTCATCGTCGCAGCTAAGAACCTCGTAACTATCCAAACCAGTGCTTTCCACCCCATCTTTCTCTTTCTTTTGCACAATGTCACAAAAGAAGTCCGTTAACACAGTCTCATATCCAGGCATTTTGGCGTACCCAGGAAAGTAATTAATGTCGATTATCAAATAGCGGTTCCCAAACCTCGCATCCCGAATCACATCAAAGTTAAACAAGTTCAACTTCATTGCCTGCTGCAAGCCCCTTGCAATATCAGTGATGAAACTCTGCGGCGGCATCTCAGTGTCGTCCAGCTGCATCATTTTGTAATACTTGTCATCAGTTCTCTCATTGTTTGCAAGATTCGATATCTGTGAGAACGACATCAAGCCATCCAAGCTCCCCAATTTCTCTTCTTCGGAAACATCCGGAAGCGACTTACGCTTCACGCATTTGACATACCCTCCAACCACATACACCTTAAAGATGACGCCGCCATGGTTCACAAACTCTTGAAGCACAATTGGGGGCTTGAGGTTGTCGAGACCATCGTGGTTGAAAACCAGCGCCATTTTGTGCGACTTGGCGCTGCCGTCGGCCACCAGTGGCTTCGCGATTACCGGAAACTTTAGACCCTCCCACGCCTGGCGATCAAATAGCGTTTCCTTGTCGTATATTACAATCTGCTTTGGAATCCCAAACGTGTCGCTCTCGTGCTCGATTCTCAGCTCCGAAACCACCTGCAACATGGAAATCCGATTGTGCAGGCGCTCGATTGCCTCTGGCGCGTCGATTATAACCCCGTCAGGGTTCTTGACCCTGAACTCCGCCAGCTCCCGCTTCCAATCGTCTCCGTAGAGCTTGTGCAGCACGCAGTCGAACGGCCCCTGATCTGCCAGCGAGCGCTCAGTGTCGATCCGAACGAGATCGATGCCCCGCGATCTGGCTAGGTTGACCAGCGACTCTTGGATGAAGCTTTGCTGCTTCTTGGGCGCCAAAGCATAGCCTATACCGAACCTCCGCTCCGCCATTGAATTGCAACACAATGAATCCACAGAATGCTATACAAAACGCTCATATAATCCCGCATACAAAATCGGAGCTCCGAAGACGAAACCCTAATTGGTAGTTTCTTGGTTGTTTTGGAGCTTTGAAGAAATCGAAAATTGCAGACGGAAGAGAGAGACAGAGAGAGAGAACAGGGAGGAGAGGGAGAGAGAAAGAGAGAGAAGAGGTGTGGATATATATAGATGCGACTAGGGTTACTAAAGTCGGGGACGGATAAAGTAACCGGGGTACACGTGGCATATTCTATGGGCGGGATGCGGCTTCGCGCAGGGCAAAGAAGCGCGTGTGAGGAGGAAGAATGGACGGTTGGAATTGAGCTAAAGTGACGGATGGGTCGGAGTCAACGATATGGACTTGTAGATTCTTGGAGTAAATAAAACGAGTCCGAAAACAAGCATAATCTAAAAGAAAATACAAACATTTATGCTCGAGTCCACAACCAAGAAAAAGAACCCACAAACAAATTGGATGAACGAAAAATAGAGATAAGCAAGCTACCTGAGCAAAAAGTGTCCCTATAATCCTACCAATTAATGCTAAAAACACTTTAATAACACCTAACACCAAAGTGCACCGCCGATAGGAGACACCATGGGCCTAGTATTAAAGTCGGTGGTGAAGAAATGACGACAGGGATAAGCAACGGAGGAAGAAAGGGGCATAAAAGGCTCGATCTGAGACAAGCTCAAGGAAACTAGAAATTTGCATGTTATTTGCACGTGTTACTTTTCTAGTAGAAGCTAGGAATAATATTATTACCAGTAGAGAACTTAGCTAGTAGAGGCTAGCATACTCTGCATGCTATACTTATGATAGTAGATGCTAGTGTGATTAGTTGAATACATGTATGATTTCTGAACTATCACTTGGAGTGTTTTCGATTGATGATTTGATTGTGATTTTCATTTACTATTATAGTAGTAAATACTATTATGCAGTTTTCCAACTATATAAAATATATGTTTTACAAAACGGGGGTTAGTAAACGATTTTACTTGATTAATGATCTTGATCCACTCACACTTTGGTTTGCACCCCCTTAGGTCATAGCAAGTGCAAGGTGTACGTTGAGAAGAGCGAGTGAGCGTGGCAATAGTACGGACATCCTATGTTGTAGGGTAGTTTTACTTTTGCTTGTTCTTATTAAACTATAGTAAATTGTATACCATTACTATTGGTTATAAATGGTACAATGCATATTTTGCAGTTTACTGTAGTGTGCACTACAGTTATGCTCTTATTGATGTGATATAAAAAATGGAATTTGGTTTTGGATTGTGTCTCCAAGTGGGGAGGTTGTACAAGGAACATAGTTGATAGATTAAATAAATAAAGAATCTATATACACCGTGTAAGCATACATGATAAACAAGTAAATCACATGAAAACATTCCATGGATAATAACTCAAACCAACGTATCACCAATAATAATATCGCAAAACCATTATAACTCCCAAGAAAGCAATGCATTGTAGTAAAATGTTTCCCAATAAAAGTTCACGAAGCCTGTTGATCACAACCAATAAGATCACATAAAACTTCACAAAAGCTAAAGTAAAAGTAAGGCAAAGTATGATGTGAAAGCATATCATAAAAGCACTTCAGAAAACATATAATATGACAGTTTAGGAAGACAAACTCACTCACAAACATGTTCTCAAATCGAAGCCACCTTGGGGGCTTCGAAGGTCCTCGATATATGATTCACCTAAATATGAAACCACACTAATAAATAATATGGACAAAAGTAAAGGCACGTATTTGCACGAAATACGACAATTAGAAAAATTATACTAAATTATTGGAAAAATGGAATGCGGAATCAGATTTAGCTCGTCGAAAAATCAAATGAAAGAACTTAGTTCTCTTACGCATTGATGCATGCACCTCCACGCACCACCATGTGGCAGCGGGAGGTTGCCAAACACCTCCACGCACCGCCACACGCCGGCGGAAGGGCACAACGCGCTTCCACACACCGCCATGCACCAGTGGCTGAGGTACGACCAGAGAAAGGAATATTCTGTCGCAAGACAAAATTTAGTTAGTATCTAACGGAATATTCAAAAAGAATATACCTTGGAATATTTCGGTTCAAGCACTTGAACTGGGTTCGAACCAGTCGTCGCTGCAATTACCGATTTCTGCAAATTTTGCCAAATTTCTTCGCTTTGTCACTTATCAACCATTCGTCGTCCAAACTCTGTTCAAGGAGTTGGGTTTAGCTCTTTGCATCGAGACGAATACAAAGATAAAAAATCACACTCGAACATTCCTTGCCATTTGGTTGGAACCTCTTCTCAGATATCAGGTAACTCATCAGAAACTAGAAACGTTTCCCTTATCAATTATCTACATTAAATCTCAACCATTTCATGCATGCAATATGTCAAAATCCATCTACATGACAAGAGAAATCCAATGGTCGTAACCACATGGCTTTCTTTGGTCGAAATCAATGAGAAACTTACCGGGAAAGTAGTGATGGTGGTGAAGCCGCTATGGTGTTTGTGTGTTGTCTCGGAGAAGAATGAGAAATGAGAGAGAGAAATTAGGTGGAGTCCTAAAGTACCGTTTGATACATATACGGGACGGAACGGAACGACATGGAATGGCATGGAACGAGACATGATAGAACAGATGTTCCGTGTTATGTTTGGTACATGCAGGACGAAAAGATTAAATAATTAAGGTATCGTTTGGTATGCAGACGGGACGGGACGGAACGGGATGAGACGGGACAGAACGGGACAGGACGGAACGGAACGGAGCGGGAGCAAAGATGCCCTCGGATGGAAACAAGGAGGAAGAAGAAGGAGACGGAGAGGTTATAATTTTGTGTTCCATGGATGTGGAACGAGTCGTTCCAGGGGGGTGAGGTGGAACGAAAATTCACCCAAAACTAGTCCCATGGAACAGCTCGTTCCACCCGTTTTAGGCGCACCAAACGTGGGACGGAACGCCTTGTCCCACTCTGTTCCGTCCCGTCCCACGTACCAAACGAACTTACATCTGTTCCATCTGTTGTTTGGTGCAATGTTCATGTGTAGGAAGGGACGGGACAATTTTTTTTTTTTTTTTTTTTTTTTTGAACTTGTTCATATTTGAACACATATATGCTTATCTATGATATATTTTTTGCACTAGCATATGACCGAAGATGTGCTATGCCATGAATTTCATCTCGCTAACCTCAGGGTCATGGATAATTGCTTGAAGATTACTAAGAATATTGACCATGTGTTCAACCTCGCATCTGATATGGGCGGTATGGGCTTCATTCAGTCCAACCATTCCGTCATCTTTTATAATAATACCATGATTAGCTTCAACATGGTTGAAGCTTATTGGATCAATGATGTGAAGAGGCAACATTCAGACAATATGTATAGTATCAACGTAAAAATTATGAGTCTTTGTTTTCCGGAAGTAGGCTTCCATACATATCTACATACTTTGTATGTGGATATGTATAATGAACTCAGAGTCAAACACTATTATATGCTTATATAAAAACTTGATGGGTCAACTATGTAAACATGGCGCCACATGATCGCATTGTGTTCGAAAGTTGCATACTGAATACAAGAATATACTTAACAAAGTGAGTAGGAACGAAAAATGAGGTAAACATTCAGAACTTAAACAAAGAAAATGGAATATCCTGAACTTAAACATGAAATATCCCAAATTAAATATTCGTCCTAACATAAATAATAATAATAATAATAATAATAATAATGTCTTGCTAAAGCAATAATGAAGGCACTAGACGTTGATATAGTTCATCATATTAAACCCCCAAATGCTCATAGGCCATCCATAAACATCTTAATGAAATCTGGCTTGCGTGAGTCATCCAAGGTAGAAAACGCCTATATCTAGAAAGCCTTTTGGCTGAATTCCCCAACAATATAACATGACTGGTATACTGGAAGCTCAAAAGAAATAGAAAATATTCAGCAAGTGGACTAGGTTTTAAATACACAAACCAAATACAAAATTGTATCCACACAATTTAAAAAAAAATGAAAAACATGCAAACGAGTGTAAGTTTGACATGTAAAAGAGTATTTGTTAAATATGAAACAAAGACCGTTGAGATGAACAAAGGCATGAATTGCCCCAAATGTGAGACTCTGTATCCAATTCGCTAACTCTTAATTAGTCTTTCTTCAAGGTTTTACTTTTGACATGTCAAAGAGTGTGAGTTTGCACACACTCATTCACGCTGGCATTCAACATTCATGCAAATAAGAGGACACGGCAAAAAAGAGGCAATCAACATCGACCTCGATCGTGTCCGAGGTTTTGCCCATATTAATTAAGATAAAACAGCCATACAAATCAAAGTTGAACTTTTTAACTATTATTTATACATGTTCTCAAAAACTAAGAAACAACATTATCCCAATATCAACTTAATACAAACTCCTCCATATCAGGAAGAAATGTCTAACAAAACGCTTAAGCAGAAACTAAATATGGCCTCATTAAAATTCTATACTTTTTATTTCAAGCCTTGGAGGTCACATTTCCACCCCCTAGTGGGGTCTTACATTTGTTTGCTCCATTCTTCACTTCTAATTCAGAAATCTCAAATTGGCATGTTAAATCTATGCACTTGCACTCCTAGTTGCACTAATCTTAACAAAACCCAGTAATTAACAAATCAAAGCTGATGACAAATAAATATAGCAGAAACTACTGTACATATTTATGTCCTCAAATTCATGCTAAAGGATTTATTTTCTATTGTTCAATTAAACCCAGAAATTATGCCGCCCTTGAATAAATAAGATCATCAGCAAAAGATAAAAAAGAAAACCCCAATTAATTAAAACCTAGAAAACTTTCAACCGAAATGAAAAACAATGAAACAAAACAAGTACAAAAAAAAATTGAATCAGAAAAGATTCATCGATTAAAGTAAAAAACTGAGATTCAACAAGCTATCAAAATCATACCTGGGTCAATCTGCAGTTCAACAGTAGTGGCTCCGTGCTGCTGCGTGTTGTTGGCTGCTACGAGAGAGGATGAAGAGGAAGGATGAGGAGGAAGTCTATGGGAAGAGAAAGGCAGCGGCAAAGAATGGATTTAGGGTTTGTTTTATGATTTGGAGAACCGCTCGTTTCGGCGGGAGAGGTGGAACGAAAATTCAGGCAAAACTCATTGCATATGACAACACGTTCAACTGTTTTTGACGCACCAAATGTGGGACAGAACACCTCGTCTCACTGCATTCCGTCTCGTCTCACGTACCAAACGGTACCTAATGGAAGAGTGATGGACATAGAGAATAGAGTGGGTGAACCCCATTGGACCCAAACACCCAAACACGATTAAAATAATAAAAAGGAAATTATTTAGAGGATAAAATTACTAAAATGCCCTTGAACTTTGTCGTTTTGTAGAATCTTCATCATAACTTCGAATTTTGATCTGCTTGCACCCACGTACTTGTATCATGAAGGACTATGAGAATATGCTGATTCGATAGGTCACATGTGTCACAGGCTCAAAGTCAACACTTTCCCTTTCTAGGTCATTTTGGTCATTTCACACCTCTGCGAATTAAAATACTTGAATTTCCAGGACATGCTATAACAATTTGTATACATGGTTTATATTTACCATGGAATTTATACTACTCCTAGTTTATTTTAAATCCTAGATATTTTTGAGTTAAAATGTTCATAAAAATAAATAATAATAATCTAAATAAATTTTACTTTAAAAATGTTACCAAAAAAAATTTAGCTTAAATTCATCTTTAATAATCTCAACATAAACTTTAACCCACAATCATTATAGAAGAAATACTATTCTTAAGTTAAAATCTAAATTTTTTTTAGATTAAAATGGTTTTATTTTAATTTTGTATATGGTTTTAATGCTAAGAGAAGGTGTAAATGTTGCTGACCCAAAGTAAAAATTTTTGAATGTTGAAAATTTGACTATTTTTCTTAACTTTGGAAAGGTGGAGGAACATCATCCGCCCCCCAGACTCCCGAAGAGGCAAATTGTTCGTCCCCGTTTCGTGCGCCGGTCTCCCCTTTGTCCACCTCCCTACCCCATCCTTCGCCGCTCCCACCCACTGTCCGTACACAACGCACAGACTCCTCTCTCTCTCTCTCTCTCTCTGATAGAATAGAAGAAACAGGCTAGGGTTTTAAACCCAAGTTCTGTCTACCATGTTAATGGCTTCTGAAAATCCCTAGTCAACGATCCCCATTTCTTTCTCATTGTTCTATTTTTCAGTTCTACAATCAATTTGTTCCACGCCGATATGGAGGGTGCTAATAACAACAACGGCGACGAGATACCAACGGCCGGCGGCGCACACCAGGCGGATTCGGGTTCAAGTTCGGCTCCGGCGCCGGCGCCCTTACTGAACTCCAACGCCCCGCCGCCGTTCCTGAGCAAGACGTACGACATGGTGGACGACCCAGCTACCGACCCGGTCGTGTCCTGGAGCCCCACCAACAACAGCTTCGTGGTTTGGAACCCGCCGGAGTTCGCTAGGGACCTCCTGCCCAAGTACTTCAAGCACAATAACTTCTCTAGCTTCGTTAGGCAGTTGAACACCTACGTATGTCTCTCTCTCCCGCTCTTATTTACTCAGTGTTTAATGTATGCTTTTGTTGGTGATTGATTTTGGTCAGTGTTGTGAGAATGCATCGGTATATAGGTTACCGATATGTAAACCGATTTAGCATATGATTGTGCTGAAAGGGCTCTATATTTTCTGTTTAAGTCTTTGGATGAATGACTAGAATCCCACATTTAGTTGCTATAAAATTCAGGGTAATATGTTTGGAGTGTTGGGATTTTGCTTTTGTGTTTGTTTTTTTTTGGGAGTTGAAGCTTTTGCTTTTGTTTTTTATTTTTTCCGGGCAACTAATACCTTTAAGGAATGTGCGATTCGAAAAGTTTGATCTCTTCTTCTTCCTGCATTGTCTCAGCAACCAGATGGAGTAGAAGTGGGATAAAGGGGAAAGAAAGTGAGTGCATTACAAGGTTAATTGTAAATATAGATATTTAATTATGTTTGTAGAATATGCAATACTGACCCGGCTGAGGGCTAGTCAAACCTTTAAGCTGCTGATGACAGAGCTGGCAGATAAGTTTCTAGTAACCTTGTAGGTTGGGTCATAATTCTGTCTACGCATTATACATGGTAACTTGCTACGCTGTATGCTTATGGTTATTTTATCTTATGATAGCAAATACCTGCGCTGACATGTGATTCATTTGGGCTCTGACAGAGTGTCATTGGGTTTGTAACGACCATTACTGTGTGTCATGTTATCATGGTTGAAGATATCAATGTTGGTAGAAATACCACTAGTTCATTCACAGAAATGTTGCTGGAAGTATGAATACAAATAGAAAAAGTGGTTAAAATTACAGATATACATATTCCTTTTTAATATGATGTTGAGACCAAGTAAACTTGGGTTAACTTAGTTGCCTCCTGCTTTATGTAGGTTGGCCATTTGAAGATATTCACCATTGATGATAACGACCTACATTGTTTATTGGTCTTAATTTCTTTCAGTAATGGGCTTTTCACTCTATTGAAGTTCTTCGAAACTTTTGTGGTTCAAACTAAGTACTAGTCAGAAAATAGTGCTGTTTATCCATCACAGCGACACAGAAAACTAAGAGAAGACCACCTTTTCCATCACCATTTAAGTGCTTACATATGTAGCTTTCTGTAGTTGGCTTTAACTGTGATGGGCTTGGAAGGTTGTTCTATTTGGTGAACATAAGTACTTACTATGTGAAACATATGGTGTGAGCTTTTGTATTTCATGAGCTTTAGGTAACCTTTCCATTATGGTTGATGTGAACATCTTTAGTTTGCTCTAGTTAGATGCTTTTTGCACGGATATCTGCTAGTTGGGTGGTTGCTTGCTAATGTTGTGTGAGCCTTGCTAATGGAAAATCTCCTCCTAAAGCTTCATTTTTCTGTAACACTTCGAATTTTAGTTCTCAACACTCTTTACATTGTTTTTTTAAGATAAGAAAGATAATACGTTCTCCAAGTCTCTTTGGCAAGGAGAAGAGGCATTACATTGAATGGATGATTTATTCAGGAAGTCACCTGCTGGTTGACTAAAGGCCTAGTATTTTGCATGCGGTAACCAAGCATTGAGCATATGAATTTGGGGTCGTGGTGAATATGACTTGAAAGTTAACGCTGCAAATTTGCACGCAAGAAACAAATATACTGGGAGTATGTATTTTTGACAGCAGCTGTGTTATGGATTATGGGTTGCTATGGTTTGAAATTTGATGGTAGAGCTACTTTGGTTTCCCCTTACAATGCTCCTTGCTGAGAACATGATGATACTGATTTGAGGAGTATTACCTGTTTATGGGCAATTGGGAATTTGACTAACACCATGCTTGGTAGGACATAGATGAGAAGGATGGCAATAGGGTTAGGGAGAAGTGCTCCACTGAATATGGAAGGATTGGGAGAAGGAAAAGAAAGCACTATTATTGCCAACTTTTCCTTCTCCCATCACTCTTCCACTTCTTCCTTTCTACCAAGCATGAGGTGGGATAATTCTGTCGTCTTTCTATGTGATTTACCTATTCATTCTGATGCTATTCATTCTTATGCTTTTCCATCTTCCCTATAGTGAAAGGAATTTGTGGCTTTTCTGGCTAGAAATGTGAGACAAGAGGTCTCATACTTTTATCCTGTTTTATGGCTGTTGGATTAAGGTTGGTCTTTGGACCATGATGACTTTGCATGCAAAGCATGTAAGACATGTTTAGAAAGAACAATTAGATATTTGTTACCATAGTACTCATTGTTATTTTATTGAGTGATTTTCAAATAGTATTCTATGAAAACTTAGTTTAGTTTAAACTCAAAAGATTATCTGTATTCTGCATACAAAATTGCTTGTATAGAAAATCAGAGATGCAAAACTTGTGAGCGGCTTCTTTTGCTATTCATCTTGAAAGGACTGCATTAATGACATAGCCTGAAAATTTTCATTATCTGTGGATGTGGAGAAGTGTGACGTCAATGTGTAGACTCTTTTGGTGCTTGTGGAGAGTGTACTTGTTGAGTGGTTCCAGTGGGGTGACTCAGACTCTAGCTATGAAACACTGCTGGTTCCTTACATGTCTAAGGTGGCCATGTAGTGAGTCAAACACTTTTGGTTCCTTCTGTTGGTTAATGTTTCCTGTGGATTAGACAGATTGGATTGGGGCTGAATTTCATGATCTTGTATTTTTATCTTTTCTGAATGTGATCCTTAATAATGTACCACACATCTATCTACTTCTGTAACATTGAGTTACCCCTTCTACTATCTCTGAATCAATTGGGAAAAGTGTTGCAAGGCCAGATTCTTCAGAAAACATTGCTTGAGCAGGCAGTGTTGGTTGGTTCACATATTTTGTTTGTGGAGTGGATAATTGAGTTGTACTTTTCTGGAAGTATTGGGGGATGAAAGAACTAGTTCCTTAAAAATGTTGATGTTGAGAAGTTTCTAAATGAAGAGATTCAAGTTGAATGACAGTCCCTTCAGTTCACATTGAGCTAGGTCACGAACCCTTCTGAATGTGCATTTTTTCCTTGCTTATTTTCAGGATGCACTAAGTAGCCTTAAATAATTATTCTCTTCAACTACATTGATCAGTTTGCATTTCTCATAAATGATAGGTGTTTGATCCATTTTCTTCTTCAGTTTTTGTTTGCTTATCCTGATATTGCTTTTGTTTCCTTCATTCCTTTGCTAAATCATGAAAAAGTCTTTTCCTTTTTTCCTTTTCCATCCTGTTGATTGACCCCCTCCATTTTTATTCGAACAGGGATTTAGGAAGATTGATCCAGACCGCTGGGAATTTGCGAATGAAGGATTTTTGAGGGGTCAAAAACATCTCCTTAAGAGCATCAATCGGCGTAAACCTACCCATGGACATAGTCATCAACAGCAACAGCCATCACATGGACAGAATTCAATGGGTGCGTGTGTAGAAGTTGGGAAGTTTGGCCTCGAGGAAGAGGTTGAGAGGCTAAAAAGGGACAAGAATGTGCTTATGCAGGAACTTATCAGGTTGAGGCAGCAGCAGCAGTCTACTGATAACCAGCTACAAACAATGGTGCAGCGTCTTCAGGGCATGGAGCAGCGGCAACAACAGATGATGTCATTCCTTGCAAAGGCAATGCATAGCCCTGATTTCTTCACTCAATTTGTACAGAAAAATGAGAGCAATAGGCGCATAACTGAAGTCAACAAAAAACGGAGACTTAAGCAGGAAGGTATTGCTGAGAGAGAGCGTTCTAATGCTCCTGATGGACAGATTGTTAAGTATCAGCCTCCCATGAATGGAGCAGCAAAGGCAATGCTCAGGCAGATCATGAATACAGATACGTCATCTCGGTTGGAATCTTTTAATAACAATTCTGATAACTTCTTGATCAGTGATGGTTCATCCTCATCCAGTGCAATAGACCGTGGGAGTTCTTCAAGCCGCGTGTCAGGAGTGACACTTCAGGAGGTCCCACTAAATTCAGTGCATGGCTTGCCTTCTGCAATTTCTGAAACACAATCTTCTCTGCGGACTGCAAACTCTGGAACAGTTATGAGATCTCCATTCTCAGATGTAAATGCCCTTGTTGGAGAAGAGTCCCCATCAATTCCCATACCTCAGACAAATGTAAATATTCCGGAGCTTTCTCAAATAGCAGATATGTCACCCGAAGGCTTAGTGGATATTCCTGAAGAAAGCATGGCAGCTGATGACATTGGTGTTGGATTTATTGAAAACATGGCATCTGAAGCGGGTGATGGATTTATGGACCCCACATCATTGGTAATGAATGGGTCATTGCCAATAGATTTTGATGATATTTCGTCGGACATAGAAGCATTTCTAAAGGATTGGGATGATGTTTTACAAAACCCGGGGGCAGATGAAATGGATTCTATTTGTGCAGGAGTGCCCATGGAAAATGAAAAGCAGCAGCCAACTGAGAATGGATGGGACAAAACCCAGAATATGGATAATCTGACTGAAAAAATGGGACTTCTTACATCAGAGACCAAAGGGGTGTGATCTTGTTTACCTGCTAATGTACATTAGTCTCATCACTAGCTAAACCCTAGAGACGACATACTAACTGCGGTATTTTAATCTCAGGGTCCTTGATATATTGCTTGATCTTGTATTTTGCCCATTTTAGTTTCTAGTTTCTATTTCCATTTTGATTTTTTTTTCCTCTTGTCAGTGTTGAATGAAACCGAAAAAGGACATGCCGGTTATAGAGGTTGATGTCCTGCTCCAGGTGGAGTTAGAGGCGCAGCCTTTTATTTGAAGGAATTGGTTCGTAAGGGAATGCTTGTTCCTTGAAAACTAATCCTCATTGCCCTTTTTTGTAAGTGTTTTGCATTAACGTATTCTTTGACTTGCTTTATGTGTGCGTGTGTGTTTTGTATTAGATTTTGAATTTAGTTGTGTTTTGTATCAGATTTTGAACCTAGATTGAAAATTTTTCAATTTTTTTTTTGTGGTGTTGCTTTGGGTTGTGGATTTGGTTCAATTTTGTTTGATGTTTTGGGTTGCATTATTCTTCGAATTCTATGTGAATTCATTTTTATTTTTTTATTTGTGTTTTTCTTTTGAATTGGTCTCTGCTTCTGGATTTGGACTCAAAGAAGGTTTTACGCATTCTGTTACCATCATTAGGGATTGGCATCTTGGTAGGTCAACTGTCCAACCCAACCCGACCAACCAAACTGAAATGGGTTGGGGTAGGGTTGGGCTCTAAACTTTAAATAATGATTATCAGGTAGTCTCTGAAAATAGGTGTCGCAAATCATTACGGTTATTCTATCACAATTATGTCAAAATTCTGTTATGTGCTGATGTGACACATAAATGAGTCCCATAAATCTTTTTTAATTCTTTTTATATATATATTTTTTATCACAAACGGTTCTTGAAATTGACCCACACCATCAAGATGGTTCATGAAATTAAAATTCATCAATGTAGTCCTAGAAATAGGTGTCTCAAATTAATGTGGTACTTCTGTTCAATTTTGTAAAAAATTATGATATGTGATGATGTGGCACATAAATGGGTCCCACATCAACACGTATAGAACTTTTGACAAAATTGTGATGGAAGGACTACATTAATTTGTGACACCTATTATCAGGGGCAACATTGATTGATTTTCAATTTCAAGAATCATCTTGATGGTGTGTTAATTTCAGGAACCATTTGTGATAAAAACCTTAACTTTATGTAAACCAATCGCATTCACTATTAATATTTTTTCTTTTTGTTTTTTTGTTTTTTTGTTTTTTTTGTTTTTTGTTTTTTTTTTTTGGACAAACATATCAACAATTCTTAAATGTGCATGTATGTTATGCATAAAGTTCAATAATTCTTTAATTATTGCAGTTTTAACTTAATTAGAAATATAATTGTGTAAATCCTAGTAGATTATGTATAGGAATTCTATGAGATGTATAAGATCTTTCCTTGTAAAACTTGTATTACTTGGATAGCATGTTTCTCTCTCTCTCTCTCTCTCTCTCTCTCTCTCTCTCTCTCTTATTTGTATAAATAAAGGTTCAAGGTATGAGGAATACCACTCTTTTCTCTCCCTTCTTTTTTCTCTGACCAGCTCCCACTTTCTTCTTTCGCGAAGTTCATAGCACGTTATAAGCACACACTTATTGGTGCATTAAGGAACTAAAGGATTTTGTAGAAGGATCTTCTACAACTAACGTTCAAAGGCCTCTATCGTTTTCATCATAATAGGTACATTCTAAATCACGAAATCGATATTTTATAAACCTTAAAACCATGAAAACATTCATCATGATGCATGAATATCAATTTATTTTTCGCTTTATATATTGCCTACATTGCTTAATATTATAGACAAGCCAGTAAGGTAAAGGTTTATGTTTGGGATAATCGAGGAGTAACCTTGATATATGCTCTATAATCATTGCAATTGCAAGAATCAAATAGCTCGAACCGATGTTTGCATTGATCAATGGTTTTTTTTCGAGGGATACTTTGGATGCGGTCCTTAGTCCCGAACACTCTTTGACTAAAACCTTAATGATATTCAAAGTTTGATCAAAACCCCTTGACTTTGTACACCTCATTATATTACTATTAATATTTAGATTTTTATAGTTTTGACATTAATTGTTTGATATTTTATGAGATTTATAATCCTATAAATTTAAAATCCCTCATTATAATAGTATTATAAACGGCTATAATAAAAAAATTCAAACATTTTGATTGAATAAATGGATAAAAAGTATGTAACAATAAGAAATAATAAATGGCAAAAGAATATATCCATAGTGTTAAAAAAAATTGGTACATTTTACAAAAAAAATTGTTACATATCAAATATAACAAAGTGGTACATTAATAAAGAAGAACGTGTACATTATAAATAAATTACGGTCCAAATAAAAGATTAAAAAATTATGAGTACAAATGAAATTTTAAAATATATGGGCGCAAAAAGAAATTAATACATGGGTACAAATAAAAACTAAAAAGAAAATACTACAAATTAAAAAAAAAGGTTGCAAATTAAAAGTTGGTACAAACTAAAAATATAAATATATGGTATAAAGTTTAGCCATAAAACATAAATATACCATATGTAATTTTTCTATCATTGATTAATTATATAATGTTATGTGACGGTAAACACATGGGCACAAATACAAATAAAACTTTAAAAAATATGGGCACAAAAAGAAATTAATATATGAGTACAAATTAAATGTGACAGCCCGTTCCGAAAATTTTAAAACGTACGCGTGAAAAGACGATTTTGCCCCTAGTGTGATTTTTACGTTGTGTGGTTGTTTTGAGTTTGGTGTGGCTGGTTGTGGACCACACACACACTTTCCCATATTTTTCCCTCACCCTTTCCCCTATCCTTGCACCTGTCCCGTGCCATTTCCCTTCCCATTTTCATATCCCTTGTATGGACACACCCCAAAACCCTTGTAATCTTCACAGATCGAAGAAACAAAGTACATATCCATGCTCGTGAGGTCCGTAGGAGTTCAACCATACCCATTTCAGGTAAGGATACCTTCGTTTTCACGTCGAACTCGGGATACCCGATTTTTGTTACTGTTCATGCACACGTAAATTCTTATGTTTTTGGGAATTTCAAGCTTGTAGGAAGCTTGGTGAGGTCCTTAGGAGGCTCGTGGTGGTTCATTTGAAGGTTTTGGACGTCGGGATCACGAGTTTCGAGGTTGGCCGGAGTTGGGGGAATTTTCCCGGCGAGATTACGTGGATTTTAGCACTTGAAAGTGGTATGATTTTGTTCCTCTCGTTGTAAGCTTCATTTTGGTACTAATTTTGTGAAATTTGGTTGAAAAACGAAGAAGATATCACGATTTAAAGATTTCCCGATTTTCCGGCGTCGGCGACGGCGCCGGAGCCTCGCCGGAGAAGACGACGAAATATTCCGTCAGTTTGGACGGAATATTCCTAACGCTGTTGACGGAATCCGTTAAAGTTAACGGAATATTCCTGACGGCGTTAGCTGACGCCGTCAGTGTGCTAGGCACGTGCCTGCGTGTGGGGGTGCGTGCGGTGGTGAAAATTTTTTCTAAAAATATGGGGATGTTCCTAAGGTTGAGTAGATCATGTTGGTGTATTCATACACCCCATTTGAGCATTGTATGAGAAGTTATTTCTTAAGGTTGGTTATGTGCTTTAAAATTAACGTTTTTATAGTTGTTTCGCATATAGGTGATACCTATCCTGAGGACGAGCGTGGTCACTCGAGGAAGGGGGTTTACGACCCTTCCACATGCCAGTGAGTGGGCTTTTGGTTTTCCGTATATACCTATATACTTTTACTTTTCCCAGAAATTGATTTAGAACGTTTATTCGTTTATATGCCATGCCTATAGTTGCCGTTTATTTATGCATTGTTAATTGTGTGTGTGTGTGTGTGTGTGTGTGTGTGTATATGTATGTATGTTGGGTGCTGCGAACGCACAGGTAAGTGCCAGGTAAGTTGTGATTTATGTTTACTTTCCGTAGTGATTTGAGATGCATAGAGAGCTCATAACTTGCACCCCCGTTGTTAGTGCTCCCGCCCAGAGTCGGGCATAGTCCTTCACGTGATGTTCACCTCCCGCACCACACGCTCAGCTTGGATCCAAGTTAGGTGCATAGTCCTGTCGTACAGACCACTTTAGGTGGTTCCGACTCGTAGGTGACCCGCGATTATTCGCCCAGCCTTCACGTGATCGTAGCACTTGAGCATATATATATATTACACCCAGGCCTGTTGTACAGACCACTTTAGGTGGTTCCGACTCGTGTGCAGGTATAGTTAGTGAGATGGAGATTTGAGCTCTAGATTCAGCCGTACAGGTCACGTTAGGTGACTCCGGCTGACAGATTATATGACGTTGATGTGACATTACCGGAGCACTTGCATTTTCCTTTGAGGTTTTGGCATAGCATATTTTCCGAGCATGATTGATATATATTTATATTATATTTTCTGGGAAGTATACAGGTTTTACGGCGAGGGGTTAGAACTTATTTATTAAATGGTTTTCGAAAAGCTTTGTTTTTGCCCACTCACACTTTTGTTTTGCGCCCCTCCAGGTTCTAGTTCGCTAGCACGTCTGGTGGCTTCCCTGAGGATTTCCCCGACATATCTGACAGACCACCACCAGTGTAGGACCACCTTCGGGTGTGCTTTTGTTGCGTCGTTTTCTCCTGGCCTGCATTAGGCTTTCATGCTCTGAACTTAGTGTCGCACTTACGCTTGCACTTGTTCGTTGTTACTTTGTGTAAAGCTAGTTTTTATTTATTCGTACTATTTATATTATTATTTTATTAGCTTCCGCATTGTGCACATGGTTACGTCACTTCCACGTGACAGCCAGCATGCCTTGATCTCGATCGGGGTGTGTCATTAAAACTGAAAAGAAAATTGGTACAAATTAAAAAAGGTTTGCAAATTAAAAATGGGTACAAACTAAAAATAAAAATATAAGATAAAAAAATTTAGTCATAAATATAAATATACTAATTGTAACATTTTTAACACTAAGGGAATATATTTAAAAATAAAAAATATTTATTATTGAAATAATTAATGATGTTATTAATGCCCAAGGACCTTGATCAAAAATTGAAAAGGAGTAGGGTTTTAATCAATGGAGTAGCAAAAAGAGGGATGAAAACCTAATTTATCTTTTTTTTCAAAAGGTGGCAGTTTGATTTTTGAGGAGGACCTATTAAAAGAAAAGACCTTTTGATGGCTATATCTAGAAAATTGGGATGCGTGAGCAGCTGAATCCAAAGAGTCATCATAAGAGCTTGACA